AATGCCATTATGTGGTTGTGTCTTTAAGTATGAAGGATTTGAGAGGTAAAAGCATGTTCAAATAATCATAGTCAAATGAGAATTGTGGTACATTCATAGTAAGATATACAAAGATTTTTGACAAAGTGTATAACTTAATATGAACTATAAGTAATGACTGTGGAAGAAATGCACGAAAGTTATCTGTAACCAATCGACACGCTTTCTACAAGATGTAATGAAGGATGATTCTTTTTTGTGTGTTTTTGTTCAATTAAAATAAAATAAAAATTAAAAAATATCTCAAACCAACAAGGAAATTATTGCCATGACACAACTTTCAGACCACTGTCACTTATGTTCTTAGGATCAACCAAGAAAAGGGAAGCATAGAAGTAAATTCCTCTTGTGTGATGATTTTTAAAGCAGCTGTGTTTTTCTTTGTGGAACAGCAGCTCAACTGTCAATGAAACCTATCCCTCTCTACATGTTTGGCCTCACAAAACATAGGTTGAGAATATAAGTAGTCAAAATTTATGCCTTATTGCTTAGTGATCATTCAAAGTTGTGACAAACCTTCCCAGGAATATTTACGACCTGGATTTGTACCATATTTTTCAGAGTATAAGACGCACCAGAGTATAAGACGCAGCTTAGATTTTGGGGAGGAGAATAGGAAAAAGAATTCTGCCTACCAGGTATTCATCTGGCTAGCATCCTTAGTCTGGTCAGCTTTAGCACATATGTTTGCTGGTTTTGAGTGCATGCATGCTTTTTATCCCGTTTGGGGATAAAAAAACAGCTTCTAAAGCACAGCTGATCATCATAGAGAGAAGCAATGAGAAAAGCAGAGGAAGCCCGGAAGATTGCTTCATTCTTTAGTGCTTCATTAGGGCTGAAAAAAAAGCTTTGAAAAAGACATTTGGAGTATAAGACACACCCAAATTTTCAGCCTCTTTTAGGAGGGGGAAAGTGTATCTTATACTCCAAAAAATATGGTAGTTCTGACTGCCACCACCCCACCCCCCGATCATGTGATTGCTTTTTAGATGCTTGGCTGTGTGTCCCACGGTCACATGACTGTAATTTACAACCTTTTTTTTGCAGGAAACAGCATTTATTTCTGGTTTCTGCCAAAAACCTCACTCATTTCAGATGACAGATTCTCTTAATGCCCACATTGTTTTTTTAAATGACCATAGTGATACCCTGAATAGAGACTACAGGTTTGTAAAAAGGGAAAGGATTCACTTAATGACTGCTGCAAGAAAGGTTGCAAAGTTGGGCACCCATTTAATGGGCGACATACGATAATGCCGACTGAATTACGGTTGTAAATTGAGGACTATCTGTATATATAAAGTTAAAGGCTATATAGAATTCCAGATATGGATGTTTCTAAGGGTGAGTCTCACTAAAACAATGTGGGGATTCAAAAATTTTTTACTATCAGTTCTGTGGGCATGGCTTGGTGGGCGTGGCTTGGTGGGCATGGCAGGGGAAGGTTACTGCAAAATCCCCATTTCCTCCCAATTAGCTGGGACTCAGGAGGCAGAGAATAGATGAGGGCGGGGCCAGACAGAGGTGGTATTTACCGGTTCTCTGAACTACTCAAAATTTCCGCTACCGGTTCTCCAGAATGGGTCAGAGTCCTTCGGGATTGGGCGGCCTATAAATTCATTAAATCAAATCAATCAGAACCTATACTGCAGGTACTTTGCACTATAAGTGAGAGTACCTAGCTAAGCATGGCTGAGATTGAAAAAGCCACACAGGATTGTATTTAGGTAATGCTTCAATGAGAGTCCACCATGAAAGTTTGTACATTAGACAGAAAAGCAAAAATATGTAAATCTGAAAGAAGCAGAGGCTCTATACTATTGGTAATATATATATATGTATGTATGTATGTATGTATGTA